TAGTTTGTCGGTATATACAGTCACTCAACACAGCAACTTTGGGGCCATAGAACTCAGTTCTGCTTTAAAACCAACAAACATTTATTTTTCTTGGTGCAAAAAGCTTTGATTAAAGGGAGATGCTCCATTAATACTGATGGTGATGGTGGTAAATTTAAATATTACCGCCTAGTCTATTGAGATTAAGTTATGTCTATTATATCTCAGAAACCAGTGGTTACAAACACACTCATCATGTTAGGTTATTGGTTTTTATCAATTTATTTAAAAAGTTTTTCTAGGGTGAATTATTTAAATTTATGGACAAATGGACAATACATTTTCTCTAATCCACAGCCAGATATACACATGGTACTGAGCCAATGTCATTTAACCAGTTGCAACTGGTCACATGTTATTTTTGCCATCAATAAAATTCTGGCACAATTCTGGCCGTTTATATTTGATTTCACTTCTCATGAGAAAAATGGAAAATTTCCTGACAAAAACTCATCTTAAACTTTGCTTAAGATGAGAAAAACTCATTTTAAACAAAATCTATAAATGATCATGTTATCAATACTAATTAACATTGTCTGTGGTTCTTTTTACTTAGGTAAAAATACCTATCAGATCAGTGATTAATTTGTTCCTTTATTGATCAGTAAGTGAAGCCTACGTCCATAACTTTTGCTCTGTATGAATTAAAGAAAATCCACCATCATTTCAATCTTTTTCAAATTACTGTAACTGCAATTAGTGAAAAAACAGCTCCAATAAGTCAGTAAAAGCTCAAACTACTAAAATTTATGTAAATGTGCAAACTTAGCACATTATTGTACAACTTCATAAGAAATAGAGAAAAAAACTGGAAGCGCATTTCACATGAGAAAGCTAAAAATGATCATCTGTGCTAGTTTGTAGCTTTTCAGCAGCTTTGATTTGATCTAACTTAAAAATGAAGACACTTTCTACTGAGAAAACTAACTAAGCAGTCGTCAACACAAACAACTGCTTAGTTGTTTGCAGTAACCGAAGCAGAAAAACAACTGATACGTCTTTTGTCTTTGTTTTTGGATAATACTCTTCTCCACACCTCTAATAATATAACTGACAAAACTGTATGAATCAATTAAATGCCCATGCATTGAAAAGCTTTGTGCAGCTGATCCACAATGTCACATCAATAGAAGTGTGTCCGAGCAGCAGATGTGGTTACCATGAATATGAATTTGGCCTTAGGCTGAAAACATAATGGAAGAAACATCTGACCAGGCTCTGCACACATAAACAGAACATACTAGCTATTCTAATTGCAGGGTGAATAGTTATAAACTCAGATATATATTTATTTGACGAATGACAACCGTTTGGCAGTTGTCGAATACGAAAGATGGAAAATCTAGATAAGCTGCACCATCTGATTATCAGTGTCAAACGTCAAACACTTCTTCAAACTGAGGGGAAGGCAAAAGTAGTGACCAAGACAAGACTTGAGCACATCTGCTTAATATCAGCTCAGAGACAAGAAGGTCATCTGGTCCTGCAGATAAAGGTGGGTGTGGGCTCCATGTGGGTGGACACCCCCTTGTAACAGGCTCTGTCCATCTCCCTCGCCCACGGTGGGCAGGCCAGGCATCTCTCATCCACATTCCTCAGATTATGGAGGGCCATCTCAGACGAGAACAGGCAAGCCTGAACCCACCTGGGCAGACCCTGGTAAATTCCACTCATGTTCACAGACCCACAAACCCACCCAGGAAAAGGTTGGGAAAGACCATTAATTTTTTGGGCAATTCTGATTTTGTTTTATTTTTTATTTTTTGTCGAGTGAAACCAGAAAAACAAAGAGTGTGAGGAGTCAGAACAGGCTGCAAAGCAGCACCTCCAGATCTTTGTGTGGGTAACATCCACTCAGTTCACAGCGCCCACCCCCCTCCTGCCTCCCATGCTCACCCCATTGTGTATGGTTGGCTCTGATACTAGCAGAGAGAGGGCCTCGGGTTGGGGGGAGGGAAGGGTAGAGGGCTATGGACACCAGGGCTATTGTTTCTGAGCAACTTCTATTCAGGGTCATTTAGCATCTGACACCTATAGGGGCACAGTTTGTCCCAAATGGCACAGAGGAGAAATAAACGTGCCAGTTCCCTACACTTTGACCTGTGCCAGAATGACAAGAAGCAGAAGAGTAAAAACTGAGCGTACTGGATTAAAAGTGGGAACTAATGAGCAGAAAGTGTTTCACTCAGATGCAAGGCTGACAGCACGGCTGAACGAGCTCATCTGCATAGCTCAGGAGGGAGTTAGCAAACGACTCCACGTTATCTCTGTGTGTGTGTTTAATGTAAGTGATTGGCAGGTAAAAAAGCCGACAGCTATGGGCATTCCTGTCTGAGCATCAAAGTAAAACGAGAGACACTGAGGGAAGGGGCCCTTAAAGAGGCTTGGAATAGACCCAGGTTTCGCCACGGCTCAGTTTGAACCTAACACAAAAGACGAATTAGATTCAACAGTCTAAGAGTGGTAAACTAATGACTTACGTTCTATAAATCTCATTATTACCTAAAACAGGGCCTTGGAAAAGATTCCACACAACTGAAACAGTGCCCATTTTATGATGTTTAAACTACAAACTTAATTTTAAGATATTCTACACTACTCTTATCATACTTTTCAGTTTTCTTCTGTACATATCTGTAATTTTCTAATCTTAATTATGTGTAACCTTTTTGTTGTCCATAACATAAAATCCAAATAAAAAACATTGAACTTTGTAATTATAATGCCAAGAAAACCAAAGAGTATGAATACTTTTGGAACATAATATATAACAGTCGCCTGAATGCTGTTGAAATTGATATCGGTGATCTTACTTTTCCGTGATCTCTCTCTGACAAATAGCAAACTTGCCAAACCTCATTTGAAGGCAGTTTGCGCTCTTCCTCATGCTTCAGTGCTTTCTATGCATGCTTCTCTATTGCTATCTTTTGTGTGAAATGCTGCCAACAAGTTTTCATTTACCAGGAATGAATTACACAAACTGTAATTAAATACACACCTGTCTTTAAAGAGCATTCCTCAACTTTGGTGCAATCCGGTAGAACGTCCTGAAGACAGCTAGCTGTGACTGAAACTGTTAAATCAACTCAAAAATAACAGATAATGTATCAAACTGTCATTCCTTCAAAACAAGAACGCTTTCTAGTTGAACTTTAATAGTTACATCTAAGCCTATGTATTTCTATGGGATTAAATGTTACAGACTAAAAATAATGTGAGATTATGAAGCTGATGGAAAATGGAAAAGGCTTTGATACTTTCTCAGTAAATCTGCGTCAATCCTTTGCATAACCACCTTTTGTAGGACTTTAAGTCGTAATTTTGTGGTGTTCCCTCTACCTGCACATCTAGAAACTGATTGCCCACACTTTTTTACAAAAGAAATCAATTTCATCCAAACTGACTGGAGAGCATCTAAAAAAAACATCAGTTTTTAAATTTTGCCAGTTACTGGCTTTTAAGTGGACTTTAACTGGGCCATTCTAACACAGCTGTATTTTTGGGGATCATTCTGGTTTTAAGGCAAGCCTCATTTTTAAACTGTGCAGTCTCTTAATTATTTCATAGATCTCCGCTAGAAATTTCCTACTATTTTCAGATTAAGCTTTATTCTTGCCCATTCTGTTGTGTTGCTTGGTCTTTATGATTCTGTTTAATGTGCTCTGAAAAACTGACAAACTGTTGTACCTTTACTGAGACTAAACATACAGTTTCACTTTGTTTAGTCCATAGGGTGAGCTATAAAGATAATTGTTCACCTTAATTTTATTTAGACATTCATCCTCACAAGTATATTCTACTTTGTGTTGATCTATTAGGTAAACTCTATAAAGTACAAAAAGACAAGCCATATTTTTGGTTTTCAATCAAGCTTTTAATGAAAAGATCATAAAATAACAGTTTATTCTTCCTCACTGCTGTACATTAAGACTGCAAGGTTGTGAGTGCTGAGGTCAGCTGTATTACACTTTTATGACACTTTGAGTTTGCGAGCCCGATCGCTACACAGCGGTGGCTCTGACCTGAATACGAGCTCTCTGAGGAGTGGAGATAAAGAGAGGAAAAAACGAGAGAGAGATCGAGAGCCCAGCCTGGGTGCTGCCAAAAGCCACAACAAGGGTCAGGAAACCTCCCTTTAAATACTGGTGGTGTGTGCGCATGGTTTTAGAGGCCACACTTGCAGACTTAGACAGTGGCATCCGTGTTTGCGTTGAAGGAGGTCTGCATTAACACATGGCAAAAAAAAAAAGCGCACCTGGGCGTGTGCACCTTTTGCATGAGATGCGTGTTTGACAAAGGAGAAGGGATTCTTGCCCTTTTAATTATTTAACAGCAAAGACCCTACAGGTCCATTCCAGAGCCTCTCAGCCCCATAGATCCTGATACATTATTGAGAGGCTTGAAGAAAACCAGCAAGAAAGCTCGATCTACCCAGCTCCAGCAGTCAACTCCTCAAGTACTGACTTTACATTTAGCAGCTAATTATGTCCGTCTGTGAATGTAGTGCACAGCAAGGTGACAGTGTGCAATAAACTCATAGAAATATGTAAAGAAAATGTTTTGTATGAAAATACGGTTCTATAAACTCTTTTTGGTTACAGATGGACGGCAAGAAAAACAAAACAGTATAAATGTAATGGCAAGACAGCATTTGTCTGTAAACACTGGAAGTTTTTGAGGTATTTTGGTGTCACTGGAGGTACAGTAAACACTGAAAAATGCAGCAGAGCAGAGTATAGAGGCCTCTGTGCAGTAAAGATTACAGAGAACCAAAAGGGCTCGAAGCAGGCGTCAGGTGTATCCGAGATAAAGCAAGGGGCAATAAAGCTTAAAACAGGGTTTAATAGCACAAAGGCTGTTTTATAAACTAGCTTTGGTCGGTTCAGCCTGCCAAGGTAAGGATCACTTACAAAATAACTGGACAGAACAGCCCCTTCATGATAACACCAATAAAAGAAAAAGGTGGATCGCAAAAGTAGCTAAAGAGCAACGAAAGAACTGCACACTCTCTCAGAGGGGATTCCTGCTTCATGTGTCATTTTAAAGCTTTTCTAACACTGCATAATGATATGGGTTTTAGTTAGTATTAGCAAACAATAATGATGAGGTAAGAAGAGAAAGAAGAAACCGTCAGGTAAATCGGAGCTGATATGAGAGCCTCTGAGTTCTCTCAGAAGCTTTAGAAAACATACAAAGTGCACTTAGTAAAGCTATCTCATCCAACATTTCTAAAACAAAACATATATGCTAAAGTGGAGATAAGAGACACTGGAAAACAAAAAGATGGAAGTTTAAGACAAGAGACTTAATTTTCAAGAGGAAAAACGTGAATTGTGTGCATGTTTCTGCTTTATATAGTTTTATTTTCTTCAGCATCATGGCAACACCCAGGGAGAGCAAGTTTTAAAACATACAGTAGCCTCCGCTCTGCACAGGCAGCAACAGCATCCTGCTCAGGTCCACAGACAAACACATAGGAGGAGGTCAAAGTTCACGTCCCCTCTGTGTCCAATTAGTGAGAACTCAAGACAATGTGGGGCAAAAATCCCACTCAATTAAACAAATGAAAATTGAAAAAAAAAAAAAAAAAAAACTCTACAGACTGTCAGGTGTAAATGCCATAGACCATTTTGTTTTAAGTTGGAAAAAAAAATACATCAGCTCTCCCACACACAAAAAAGTCTTCACAGATTGTGGTTAATGGCTATGTTTGAGTCTCATTTAAGATTCAGCTTGAAAGTCATCAAAACAAAAACAATGAAAAAAAGAAAGGGGGTCCCGCCTCCACCTCAGTCTCACACACTGAGAAAATTCTTTAGAGAGGTGAAGGCAGGCCCCGGAAATAAATACATTCATCACCGACAATAGACATTTGATTAAAAAATAAAAACCAGAAGAAAAAAACAAAACAAAAACAGAACACTGTCAATAAGTGTTTGCGCCAATGTTGTTTGAGGCTCGGCCAGCCAGAGGTTTGTGCTGCTTTTGTCCACAAAATACAGGAAAAGTGTAAAGTATGAAACAAAAACAATTAAGATTCACAGTTAAGACTACCTGATGAGCCCGTTTACATGCAAAGAACAAAAAGAAAGAAGTAAAAAAAAAAAACAAATCGTGCTACATTCTCCGAAAGGGTTTTAAAGACAGCGGCCGGTAAGAGGTGTACCATGTAAGATGGCCATTTAGAAAGGCTTAAGCAGAGAAGTAACGCCTTGACCTTGTTTGGGTAAACACAGAGACAACATTAAGCTAACAGACCCCGACCAACAATGCCTTTTTGATTAATACGTCAAAGATGCACTGCCCACTTCCCCCACCACTCCCTGAAGTCCCATCTGAAGACGGGCCAGAGGGCAGGAGAACGGGGTGCAGGGTCACCCCAAAGCCAGCTGGCAGGGAGGAGACACCACACACCCTCCCCCTAATTGAATATGCAGCAGTTCACCCCATGTTTAATGCTATGCTTCTGTTTTGGCAGCAACGTCTGTGGAAAAGCGTCTTAATTACACACGCACACATGAGAAAACGTAAAGTAAAAATCTTTGACTGGCCGAGCCTCGAGTGAGGTCTGTAAAACTGTAAAAGTTCATGTAAACAATGAGATAAATACATATGTTTCTTTTTTTTTTATTATTTTTTAGAGCCACACATGGTTCCATAATCATTCAAATGTGCTTTGGTTTAAAAAATAGTTTGTGAATTTGGGTATGAGCTTTTTTTTTTAATTATTATTTCTTCTAAGTTTTTTTTTGTACAACTTTGCACCCATTTCTGCACGTACTGTGTAACTAACTAAAAATGTAGACTTTGTTTTGAGCTGCCTCGCCTTTTGTCAAGGCTTTTTGTGTTAGTTGAAAAAGATTCCCCCCTATTCATCTTAATATGAAACTAGTGTTTTTTTTTTTTTTTTGCTTCTCCAAAGTCTAAAATACAGAGAAACTGATACAATGCTTTATCTAACAAATGTAGCTGAAAGCCTGTGTTCACACACGCAGAACAATCCCTGAAGTACTTGAAGAGTAGTAGTACTAGTAGTAATAGTAGTAGTATGGTCACAGTTTGGAGTTTTTTTTTTCTTCGTTTTGACAAACAAGCAAGCATTTAAATGCAGCTGCAAAAAAAAAAAAATCTTTGCAGAGATGGCTAAAGATAATGTACAAACACCTTTTGCATTACAGACATCGTGCTGCAGTGCACCTAGTGCTGACACGTACAATAACGTTTGAAGGCAATGCATTGAGGACTCCCTCTTTAGCCAAGAGAGGTCACAGGTGATAAATAACATGTTTGTTGTTTGAAGAGGGGAGGGGAGTGTGAAAAATTCCCATGTACCATGCAGAACAACAAGAAAGTCAATGTTAAATTAGGAAACAACTCTGGGAGTCCAGGATGCAGGTACCTACAAACGGAGCTTCAGCTGCAACGCTGGAAAAAACATTTCACAGAACCTTAACAAGAGGATGAAGGAAGTATTACCAAAAAATATCAACTCAAGAGGGTAGTTAAAATTCAACATTACAGAGGAATGCCTATAACAAAAACTTGTAGTGAAGGTTAATGATCCACAGTGAGAGTTTTCAGAGTGGATACACTGAGCAGAGAAACAGACAAACAAGAAACAAGCCATTCCCCACGAGTACTAAATAATTCGCCCCTTCGCCATTTTGTACATTTGAAGTTTTGATCTTTATTGATTTATTGGTTGTGACCCAAACAGGGACAAGAACCTTAGGCATTACATTGAGATGCCGGTAGATTTATAACCATTTTTTCTGGAAATAATTCACAACTTGAAGTGAAAATAAAAAATGTCTAATAGTTCAAAACTCGATTCCAAATGTGGAATTGATTTCCCTTCTGAAACAAAATACAACTTTGCAGGCGTATAACCAAAGCTGCCCCACAACAAATATTTTAGGTACAATGTAAAATATTGTACCTCAGACGTTTCCTGGGAAAATTCTGACGTTTGATTGCAGAAAGAACTAACTTATTACTGTCCTCCTTTCTGCAGTCATCAGCGCTTACACAGCTGTCTCATTTTCTGCATACTCCTCTCCTTTTCAGAGCTTGAAAGAGTTAAGGCCTGCAGCTTGTAGTCCAGGCATTGTCGGATTGATACTAGTGTTTGTGTTACCCTGCTCTCGTAATTAATTGCACACACAGACTTCTTACAGTATGATAAGGATTACTATCAGGATGATGTATCACGTTCACACAGCCTGACCTGTTCTAGTCCAGTCAGGTTTTTGAAATCACAGCGTGAACTATCAGCTTCAGATACACAGGAAGAGATGAAATTGAGGTACAAATTAGCGGAGGGGCGAAGTGACCCAGAGCCAGTCTCTGGTTGCTGTTGTTGAGGTACATCTAAAAGTTTCATGAGAGATGTACATCAACAACAGTTTAAAATAACTTAAGTCATCTTTAGTGATATAACTATAAAGCTGTCCAGTGCATCTCTGCTTCTCCTTTTTTTTAAATGACAGGTTTTCACAAATTCGGCTCAGAGAAATTGAAAAGACTTGAGTAACTTAAACTTCACATTAAAATTCTGATTATAGATCCTACTCTTTTTTTTTTTCTTTTTTTTTTTGGTCTGAACAGAACACAAACTGTCATCAAGTCCTGCTTTTAAAAGTCAGAGAATATAAAGTGATAAGGACTCTGGATACAAACAAAATAACAGAAATGGGATAAACATGCTCAGTGAACATGTCTTAGACTTTACCAGTCACTCCAGAACCCCATCAGGTGGTAAAGTGTTTACATCCCCACCAGCCCACCAATCAGCACAAGCTTTTCCTTGCAAAACCACCAGAACCATCACCAGAACCTCAGAGTTATTGGCCAAAACAATCACAAAAAGAGTGGATTTCTTTGTCTGCACTTTAGAAGATAATTCTTATTTTGTTTTATACAGCAATAAAAGAAATCAAAAGAGAAATAATTTAGTATGCTATATATCTTAAGTACATCTTTTTTTTAAAAACTTTGGTTATGAACTTGTCTAGCAATGTTTGTTAGTTAGTTCAGTTCTCCTCAACATTCATAAGATCTTTGGAACACTATACATCTAAAACTAACCAACGAACCACTATTTGCTCCAGGCTGGACGCTACAGTACACTTTGAATTGGGGGCCACGGTGACCTGGGTCCCAAAAACATAAAAAAAGAAAAAAAAAAAAAAAAAAAGAGAAGTTATATCTTGACGAGTACAAATATTAGCTAGAGACAATCAGAATGTGTAAAATCTATGAGCGTCAAAAACCTGTGTTGAGAGATGGGCAGGTTAAAGCATTGGGTGAGAAGTTACATAATCTACACACTTTTTACAATTAATTACATAAGCAACTTTTAACTAAATCGACAGAGTTCAAAAGAGTAATCAGAGGTAGCGAGGTCACAAGCCTATATATAAATAGACTTCTTTTTTTTTTTTTTTCCAAGGGGAGGAAAGCTATACAGAAAAATATGACGTACCCACTGAACATAGCATTAGGTTTAAAACACCCCTTTAAACCTCCCTCCCTGCCCAACAACCCCGACCCCCACCCGCACTTGACCAGAAAAATCCCAAGACCTTCCAGTTTAAAACATTCACTGAAACATGACAAGCTTTTAAAGTATGAGTACTACCACAAGGGGTTTTCTCTTTCCAGCTTCTTTCCTTGGAGCTCTAGCAGGCAAATCTAAAGAAACAAAATTGAATGAAAACTCTCGTCTACATCAATGCAAACAGCCACAGAGAGGACACAGAGTATTTGTTATCTTCTACAAACAAACATGTCCTCCTGAGAAAAGCTTTTCTTTCCCTCTTTCTAGACTTTCAGGTAAAGCACAGAGATGGTCCCATACCCAGTTACCCCTCCTCTTTCATACATATAGCATCACCAACATCATAAAGGATATAAAGCTGTCAGGGTAAAAATTTTCTTTTTGCTGAATTATTGCCAGTTTTGTTTGCACCTACTTCTTTTTGGTCAAAAGTTGTTTTAGGAACAGTGGGGAAAAAACTCTTAAGATTTAATGCTTAAACCATGAAGAGAGGAAGGCGGCTGATGGGTACGAGGTGCCCACATTCACATTTAACCAACTGTGCCTCTCCACCATGGCTTTGTGACTTTGGAGAGAGACGCAAGTAAATAGTCCCTCGAAAAACTCCTGAGAGGCGAGCACTTGTCATTCGCTATAACCGATGACCCTATCCTTGCATCAATGGGATCCCACCGTCACCAAGAGAGCGCACTGTGGCAAGCAGCTACACCGTTCACTCAGCCAGGGTGTCGTAAACTGGAATCAGATTCAAGAACTGTGTGTATGTTGTGTGTGCATTTCTTTGCTTCTGAGATGGAAAAAAGGTGGAGAAATGTTCCTTTTTCTCTCTTCCTGTAGTTCTTTGGCTTGATGCGTTTCTAAGAGGGTGAGGTGTGCATTCTCAGGTGACTGATGAGGTTGCGCTGCTGGGTGAACTTCCCGCCGCATAGCTGGCATTCGTACGGCTTCTCCCCAGAGTGAACTCGCATGTGCTCCGTTAGGCGGTACTGCCGTGTGAACCGCATGCCGCACTCTTCACATGCGAATGGCTTGAGGCCCAGGTGGCTACGCATGTGGCGCGTCATGGTTCCCCTCTGGGTGAACATTTTTCCACAAATGTTGCAGGGGAAGGGCCGGGTCAGCCAGTGGCTCTTTTCGTGCTGCCTCAGAGTTGCGGGGTCTTTGTAGCTCTTGCTGCACACGGTACACTTGAAGGGACGCGTTTCGGAGGCAAAGCTGGAGGGACCGACAGGGGCAGAGAGATCCTCCGCCTCCTCCTCATCCTCTTCTTTCACAAAGGTCCCTCCCTCTTCTTTGATGTAGAGCTCATCTTCAGTGTGGGTCTCCACATGAGCGTTGAGCTGCTCAGAGCTGGGGAAGCCCTTACCACAGGGAATGCACACATAGAGGTTGTCCCCAAATGCTGGCTCAAAACCTTCCTGCCGGTACACATAGTTGGCGCTATGGTGTCCGCCTCCTGCTCCTCCTCCACCTCCTGCACTCTCTCCATCACTCTGACCACTTTCTTCACTGTGGTCCTGGCCATTTTCTCCCCCTTCTTCCTCATCTTTGCACTGGAAGGACTGGTCAGATGCAAAGCTGTTACCACTGCCTCCACCAGCACCAGAGGAGCGGCCGTCTTTAGGACCTACAATCACTCCGTTGACCAAAGGCCTGTCATGTTCTTCAGACTTCAACCCTAATGCCTCTTTTTTGGGCCATTCGTTCTTACGAGCAGCATGTCGAGTCTTTTTCTGGGGTGGCGGGCCCTCGGGCTGGTTTAGGGAGTCATCTGGCGTCTTGGAGGAATTTAGTTCCATGTTCTCTGAGATGCATGTGTCTACACCTGGCAGGGTGGTTGAGGAGTCATCCAACGAGGCACTGTTGGTTGTGGATACTGAGGCAGATTGCGGGGATTCTTGGGAGTTGCTGTGTGGGCTGAGGGCATCAGTGGCTGTGCCAGCAGAGTGAGGACTCTTCTTGGACAGATCTAACCCAAGATCTGGCTCTCCAGCACTTGCCCCACTGCTGAGATTACCGTTACTGCTGCCATTTCCCCCATTCCCAGTTTTCCCAGAGCTCCCAACAAACATTTCATCATCTGACAGTTTGTCCCGAAGGCCTTCATCTGGCTGTGGTTGGTCGGCATCAGAAGGGGTCGGAGGATAGTGGTTGTTGGGACCAGCAGGGGTAGAAGAGGAGAGACGCTGGTTGTTGAGGCGCAAGCGGCTGAGTGGACCTGGGGTGGAGGGTTTTCCTGGTAGGGGCTTCCCACTACTCCGCTTGAGCTTCTTTCTGCACAGAGCAGCGAGGTCATGTAGCTGGAGGTAGCTGGCTGCGGTCAAGAGGGCACTGAAGTTCTGCTCGCTGCTCTGGTCTGACGACGACAGGAGCTTTCCAGTATAGATAAAGTCCAGGACTTGTCTGAACACGGAGGGGTTCACCATCTCCGTGTCGAGGTTAATAAGGTTATCGTGGAGGACCAGAGATTTGAAGTAAATGCTGCTGGCTGCCAGGATGTTCTTGTGGGCGCGAAAGAGAGCGTTCTCCACCACAATGATGACATCACAGAGGAATCCCTTGGCTCTCTGCTGGTTGAGTTGCAGTAGCAGTTGTTTGGCATGATTTGGCAGTTCCATTTCCTCCTTCCTTCTCTCTCTGTCTTCCTACACGTGCACCACCTAAAGCTGAAACAGAGAGAAAAGAGGGTTAGCTCTCGCACATTTAAAGACATGCAGCAGTGAATGACAGCTAAGTCGTCCGTCTTCTACTCCCGCGTCAGTATTGCAGTAACAGGAACAACAGTTCATTTGAGTGAACTGAATCTCTGGGATGAGTACATTAAAATGATCCATTCACTTGCTTGAACTGTTAATTTGTGCTAAACAGCGCCTCCTTTGAGTTGGAACGTGATCTGTTCATGCTGTGAAAGAACGCCAAAACCGCACGGTGTGTCATTTGCTGCTTCTCCAAGCTAACGGCTAATGTTGCATCAATCCACATGAAAATAAAACACGGCCCTGATCTCATGATCATAAAAATTATAACATTTACAGGATGTCTACATTTGTGTTTCCCATTTGACGTTGTATTTTTTTATTTCATGTTTTCATTTCAGTGCAAACATATTTATTTAACGACCAGACATTAAGTCACATGTACTTGTTTATTTCACAGGCTGGAAATGCATTTGAATAGAATTGAGTCTTAAGCCGAAATAAGCACATTGCATAAAGAAAATCATGTTAATGTTTTACGTTAGGTCTACATAAAATGTACAGTGCACAACTCATTCATTTACTGGATAGTGCCACAATGTGAACAATTACCAGCACAGTAATTGTCGAGCATCTGTCACGATGTAAATCTTTATCAAGAGCAATTCATAGTTGGCAGTTGTAAAATATACAGAAACCAATCTGGGGTTCATACTGTGAAGCAACTGTGCCAACCGCTACACCAGTCAAATAATAAAACTGCTGCCTAGAAAGCATTCTACACTCAAGTTTGCATCTTAAAGGCGAGCGCTACCATCTATATGACTCGCATTGTAATCAAGGTACATTTCTTCATGACCTTGCATCTTTAAAACAATAATTTTAGCGAGCAATTCTAGCTGGATTCTCAGTTCAAGTAATTGTTACCAGAAGTGATGCACTGAGAAATTGATTTTTAGCTCGATGAACACTGCCTGGTTACTGGCAAGTGGAAATCTTTAAAAAAATATATATGTTTATATATAAATAAAAAAAAAATAGATGACTGAATGCACCAGGCTAAAACACAGTGAGGATGCACTGACAACATTTGGTGAGGATGCAGTTACTATGTGTACTCAAAGTTGTTAATTTCTCACTTAATTCATTTAAAACTAAATGATAGGAAGCCATTTAAAAAGAAAGCTGATTTCTTTATTGACATGTCTGTTTTATTAAGGCCAAGGAGAGTGAGAGACAATCATTCAAAATATAAGAAGGTTGAACATAGTGAAGCAAAGCTCCTGTTTTACCTTTAGATTTCAACTTCTGTCAAGCAACATCCTAGACTTGGAAATATTGGTAGCCTTTAAGAAATTTCAGAGTGAATTACCTAAATTTTCTGAAACAGACAAGCTGACAAGCTTTTAATAATTCAAGTTTTGCAAAAGTTGCTGAAGCAGTACAAAAGTGTCAATTCTGTAATTGGTATGTTCTTTAAAAAAAAAAAAAAAAAGTAACACGTTTCACAGTGACAGCTTCTGTTGTAAATAAATAATGATCATACTATAGGAAACGTAGAAAATGAAAAGTTTTCCGAGCCATCTTATGCATATTATCAAAATAGGACGCAGCAGACCAAAGCTTTACAAAGCCTGCAGATTGGAAATCGGCGACAGCCTTCTGATCGGCATATCTGCAGTAACACCAGATGCCAGAAAACATGGCAGTAGAGAAATTGGAACCAAGTAGTCCTCCTCCTCTTCTATTTTAAACAAATCGCTACCCTACAAGGATCAAGTTCTGATTGTGCACACTGCTGCTGTTTTCGCACAAAGGCCAAAAGGGGTGGAGGGAGAAGAAAAGGCTAAGGTAACCATTTCCCTCAAGTTCCTCCTCTCACCTTGTTTTTCCTATTTTACCAGAGAAACTCTAGTTTCTGTGGGGTGCCCTCCATGGAAACATGCATCACTCTCGTCTCCATTAGGTCATGGTAATGTCAGTCCAGCCCCATTGTCTGAGGGTGGGGGTCGGTAGCACAGCAGGGCCGGGGGGAAGGATTAGGTGACACCTGAGCAGGTAAAACTACACAAGAGCCCGGGCAAAAGGGGAGGGGGAGGGTGTGGCTCAAAGACAAGGACACCACTACTTGATCCTCCAAAGAGGCCCTCATTTATGGAATTAGGACAAGTAAATCTCATTCACTGATTACCTACAATGTATCACGGTGAACTTTTTCTGACTAAACCGTGGCTTTCACCAATTTTATGCAGTACATGCAAAACAACTTCTATATTAGTGGCAGTGGATCTAGCCTCTGGTAGCAAGTCTGTCTTTGGCACTCGATTAACAGGTTCTGTAGGATTTGGGCACACTGGTAAAATGAGCTCCCATTATTCAGAGCATGGAGAATTAAGAGATTAAACAGAAATGCAGATAAATGCTGCTTTACTCAAGCCGTAAATGCGTGTGAAAATTCACCATTTTAACCTTGTGCCAACCAAGAGATTCTCTTTCATAATTCACAACAGGGAAAGAGAGGATTCTTCTTAAATAAATAAGCCTAAAAGTAAAAAGCAAACATTTGCATTACCAGGACACATCAAAAAAGTAAACGGTAGAAAGAAAAAACAAACAGCCTATAGACAGCAGTTTTGTCTCAAATCTCTTTTAAATTGATTTGGTTAAAGGTAAATGTGGTTCATCTTTCGTCCTGTGACATCTGAATTATCATTTACAGTGATGCAGTGCGACAGGCCATTCCTAAAATGCATAACCAAGAAATGTTTTTGAACTATTAAGAGCAGAGATACGGGCTAAGGGTTGGGTTGAACTTCAGGCTTACACGATTGGTTTTAGCATGTAGATTTAAGAATATCTGATTGCTAAATTAGTTAGTACCGTTAAGACGCTCTCAAGCTCATCTATAGCATTTCTAGGCAACAGGAGCTTTAAGTTGCATAACTTCTGGAAAACATACCAGCTTTTCTGTCAAGTTATTAGCATGAAAACAACTGATGTAGTATTGTTTTAAGGAACACTAAAGAGAATCTGAATTACAATTTGTACGACTTGTTGCTCATTAGGTAAAGTATAAACTACCTGGACAAATACAGATCTACAGCACTGATGTACATTTTTTTCCTTCAAATTCTGGAAAAAGCTTAACAGATCAAATTAATTACAGTGACGCTGTACCTTAATATGTCATTTTATATCTGATTTCTTCATTTCCCGTAGAACCTTTCACACACAACATGCATTAATTTGAACGCTGCAGGAAGCCACCTCATTAAAAGCAGAAGATTTTAAGTTAATAGTTTAGTTTATTATTAGCTTTCATTAAATACATGTGTTATGTGACTTTGATTAGTGTAGCAGTAGGAGGTCACTAAAGAGATTTTTTTGCTTTCATTATTTTTCATTCAGAAGAAAATCTGCAAAGATGCAATTATCCTTGCTTGAAATGTTCTGTAAAATGGCTTTAAAGTTGTTTATGATCTTTGAATCAACTTTCAGCAGATTTAAGAGTAAAACCTTTTACCTATTGTTTTGGTAGGCAAAAAATGTGATTGGGATTTAGGTTGGTGCACTTTTCAAAGCAATGCCAATTAGAACTCATGATGTAGATTTAACCAGCAGAACTTGTTTTTTTGTTTTGTTTCAACAAATACAATCTTCCTTAGTCTTTCAGTGGTCATAATAGTATAGCTAATCTGTGCATGTCAAGTCTTTTGTCATTAAAATGGCAAGAGGAGAAAAAAAAATATTTCTGCAGTTCCCAGGGGAATTCCTTGTGCAGTATTACCTTCAGGAAGCACATAAATCATCCCCCCACAAAAAATACCACTTCAATTCAGACATATTTTCAATCAGAAAAGAAAAAAATTCAGACTCAAAAATAACATTCTGACCATGACGCAAGAGTAAAATATACTAGACTGGAAAAAAACAGAAAGAAAACAAAAACAATTGTTGATAACGTAGGAAGAATGCAAGCCTTTCAGGCAGTATTGAACAAGGTTTAAGTGCAACAAGGTTAGAATTGTAAACTGTGGTCCGTCACAGTCTGACTGGCTGATACAATCAGCTGAAGTAATCATTACTCTCAGGTCCACGCCTTGGCTTGCCTCATCTGCTGTGACACTGCTCCTCATGGTCTTCCTCCCTTCCCCCGTCTGCTCTGAGCAACACATCGTTTCCTCTTTTATCTTCCCACCCTCACCACCGAGTCTCTGGGAATGAAACCAAGCTGTCCCTAATGTCAATCAGACATGTTGGGATACATAATCCAAATCTGTTAATCACAGAACCTGCTTCAGGGGGTCTATGGCTCTCAACCCTGCAGGCAGTAATGGAGGAGAGTGCTGCAGGAGAAAAGAGGGCCTCTGCTAAGATGCCAGCCAGGAAGCCATATATCATTCAAGTCTCTTTTAACAAACACACACCTCTGCATGCTTTACGGGGGGATCCAAGAGGCTTTTCCTGCAGGCCGACATTAAAAGGGGGCTGGGACCAGAGCAGAGAAACCAGCGCAGGAGCAGAAAAAAAAAGCCCTCCCCCACCTCCATCTTCTTCTCATCCCTCGCTCTCCCTCCTTCCCCCATCTCCCACTCAGCTACACTCTCCCCCTGGCCCCTTCAGTGCTGCGCCATGCCGGCTGGATTCCAGGGGGCTGCTAATGGATTACTGCTGATCTATATGCAGTTAGGGTGGGATACATGTAGTCTCAGCTCCATGTTCTAATGATGCTGGCCAGAAAAACAGACATATCACAGCAGACCTGCACCATCATAGGACCTCCGTCTGTGGAAGATTGAATTTTCTTGCAAGAGCCACAATCTAAGCAATTGGAATGACTCTTCAGCATTCTAGACTCACCAAATAATGGTGGATTATTCTTGCATTCGAAAGTGGAAATGAGTGAATTTCATTTGGGAGGATGTAAATACAACAGCCGCTGATATCAAAAGTCAGACTTGATAACTTGT